TCTAGCGCGCAAGATAGTACCTATCAACCCTTACGTCCGGCGATGATGTCGAGATATTCCTACTCCGTTCGCTCAGAGGACTTGCGAGTTGTTTTGAAGGAACGGGCTCGCCGACAAGAGGCTCAAAGGGTGCCGGCGTTCCAGCAACTATCTTACGGGGGTCACGCCAGCGAGGAGGTCATAATGCCACCACCCCGCCTAGCCGTACCTGTCCCTCTGGACACAGATTTGGTGAGGCTAAACGCCACCCCCTTCTCCCTTGAGATAGAAACCACTCCTCTCCCCACGGGCTTCCACTAGCCCAAGTTTACGCTCTACGACGGAAAGACCGATCCATACATGCATGTAAGCCACTTCCGGCAAGTCATGGCCGGACATAGGCGCAATGACGCTCTTATGTGCCTTATCTTCCTGTCAAGTTTGGGTGAGCTGGGCTTGAAATGGTTTGAGAGGCTGCTAGAGGGAAGCATCGAAAGGTGGCAACAGTTGGCGGAAGCATTTGTGACTCGTTTCAAGACCAACACCAAAACACCGAAGGAGGTGGGCCAGCTTCTCAGTGTCAAAATGGAGTCGAGCGACACACTCAAGGCATATAACTCCAGATACTGGAAAACCTTCAACGAGATTTTAGATTGCCCGATCAACCTGGCAATCACCCAATATAAGCACGGTCTCCCGGTCGGACATAGGCTGCGGGACTTGCTTACCATGAACCAGCCGACATCCATGGGCCAACTAATGTAGCGCATCAATAAGAACATCCGGGTAGAAGACAATGCGGCGGCATCCACCGCGAAGACAACTCCGGTGGTAACAGACAAGAGGTCGGCTGGCGAGGTACACGCGGTCGGACAAGAGTCTAACCGACCAAATGATCGCGCCGAGGAATCTAACCGTGGGTCAAATCAGCAGAACCAGGGAAGGGGCCGTCGGAATGACCAAGCTGAATACCCCCGCGATGACGTAGCTGATGCGAACAGAAGGTTGAAAGCTCGGACGGGCATCACCACGGTCTTCAAAATTCCAATTTATCGCATACTTAGTGAAATCCGTGACGAGGATTACGTCTGGTTTCCTGCTAAGATAGGCGCCGCGCAAAAGGACTTCAATCCACGGTACCGTTGTACATATCATTGGGAGCAAGGACACCGGACAGAGGACTGTTTGCCTCTGAAGCAACACTTTGAGGAGTTAGTCGTAGCCGGACACTTGGATCTTTACATTGATGGGCTAGTTACGGCCGCGCATCCCGCCTTGGTTGATCCGCATGGACCGGATGACTTGGAGGCGCCCCCTCAAGGAGTGGTTAATGTGATCCACGACATAGTGGAGCCGGCGCGTGTATGCGAGCTCCGATGAATGATCAAAAAGGCTAAACACATGAGGGAAGTTATGTCAGTCTAGTCCGCGATCAAAAGGGGGAAGACCGAGCAAAAAGACATGATTAGTTTCTTTACCAGGGACCTGGAGCGCATTCAAATGCCACACAACGACGCCCTAGTGGTCATTCTTCGCATCAAAGAGTTCGATGTCAAGCGCATCTTAATTGACCAGGGAAGTTCGGCTGAGATTATGTACTATAGTGCGTTCAAGCAACTCAAACTCCGTGATACAGACTTGGCTCCGGCGACTTCGCCACTTGTAGGTTTCAACTCGCAACCGGAATGGCCTTTGGGAAAGATAATTTTACTAGTCAAAGCCGGAACCGTGGTCAAGCAGGTGGAGTTCTGGGTATTGCAGGTGCCGTCTACGTACAATCTGATCCTCAGTAGGGGATGGCTTCACGCTATGCAAGCTCTAGCGTAGACCTACCACCAGGTTATGAGATTCTCCTCGGCTATGGGGGAAATTGAGGAAATTTGAGGCGATCAAGTCATGTCGAAGCAATGCTTCGTGGCAGTGAACGGGAGCTGGGCTGCTAAAGGCTTCGTCCAAATGATCAAAGGACCGGAGGACCAGGGAGTCCTTGAAGATGTGGGCTTTAAGGCTGAGGACAAGCTGTTGAAGAGTTGGTAGAAGTGTGGATTGACACAGAAATTTCGAACAAGTTCTTTTTCCTCGAATCAAGCCTTACCGCCCAACAAAGAACCGAGATGGTAAAGTTCTTGATGGTAAAGTTCTTGATGTCTTCGCATGGTCACTCTATGACATGCCCGGCATCGATCCAAGCTTTATTTGTCATCACCTCAATGTTTTTCCCAGTGCATGGCCGGTCATTCAGAGAACGAGAAGATCGGCGCTGCACCACGCCAAGGTAGTCGCGGAGGAGGTAAGAAACTTGCTTGAGGCACGGGCTATTCAGGGAGTGTACTACCCTCGGTGGATTTCGAGCACAGTTGTTGTGCCCAAGAGGAATGGGAAGTGGCGAGTTTGCGTTGACTACAAGACCGTCAACTGAGCTTGCCCTAAAGACAGCTTTCCCCTACCCCGAATAGACCAGCTGGTGGATCTAACAGCCGGACATAACAGGCTCAGTTTCTTGGATGCCTACCGCGGTTATCATCAGATTGCCATGCATGGCCCCGACCATGAAATCACCTCCTTCACTACTCCAAGGGGACTCTTCTGCTACCGAGTCATGCCTTTTGGTTTGAAGAACGCCGGGGCGACTTTCCAAAGGATGGTGACCAAAATGTTTGCTCCTCTGCTAGGCGGGACGATAGAGGCTTATATCAATGACATGGTGGTCAAAAGCTAGCATCAAGCAGACCACTTGTCTGACCTAGACGAGATGTTCGCCATCCTCAAACAGCACAAGCTACGCCTGAATGCGTCCAAGTGTGCCTTTGGTGTGGGATCCGAAAAATTCTTGGGCTTCCTAGTCACAAACCGAAGCATTGAGACAGACCCTACACAAATTAGAGTCGTATAAGAGTTAAAGCAGCCAAACTCGGCCAAGGACGTGCAACATCTTGTCGGTATGGCAACCGCGCTTAACAGATTCAGAAGCCAGTCATCAGATCGCTGTTGCCCTTTCTTTCGAGCCTTAAAATCCAAGTTTTCATGGGACGAGGAATGCGACAAGGCTTTGGCCGAGCTAAAGGCATATCTGTCTTCTGCTCCATTACTGGTGACGCCAAAGCCTGGCGAAGAACTCTACCTTTATCTGGCAGTCTCTCAGGATGCAGTTAGCGCGGTACTCGTCCGGTTAGAAGGCATCCAACATTTTCCCATTTTTTACGTCAGCAAAACCATGCTACCGGCAGAGTTGAGATACTTGCCGCTAGAAAAACTTGCCTTGGCGTTGATGATGGCCTCAAGAAAATTGGCACACTATTTTCATGCTCACACAATCATCGTTTTGACCGAGTTCTCCCTCAAAGCCTTGTTCAAAGGGGCAGATTTCCCCGGCCGAATCCTCAAGTAGACGGTCGAATTGGGACAATTTGACGTCAAGTTCCAACCACGAACTGCCATAAAAACACAGACCTTGGCCTATTTCATTGCTGAATTCTCACCTGGTATTCATCCAATATGCCTGGAGAATCTTGCCGCGGTAGCTGAGGAGATGAATGCAGGCTCAACCGAAATTACACAGCACGGCGATGTTGGCAACGCGAAACCTGCGCGCCCTGCCGTAGAACCTCCAGCCGGCATGATATTGCAGACCGGCGATGAGGCGACGGCTTGGGCATAACAAACTAACCTGTTGGGTCCGATGTCGCATCGCCCAGGGGGAAGGAATTGGAACCGATCAGCATTGAAATTGAAGCTGAACAACCGAGTAATCGCGATCCCCTCAACTTTCAACCCTCCCAGGACCCCTCAGAGTGTTGGAAGCTCTTTGTCGGCGAAATATGGAAACTCTTTGTAGATGGAGCCTCGAACCGTCACGGTGCCGCGCTGGGCATAGTTCTGATTTCACCAGATGGTCTGACCATCGAACACTCCATCACCCTCGGGTTCCCTGCATCAAACAACGAGGCTGAGTACGAGGCGTTGTTGGCTGGGCTCAAGAGCACCCTTCAGGTGCACGCATCCGAGCTGATGGTTTATAGCGATTCCCAACTCGTTGTCAACCAAATATCTGGGGTATATGAAGCTAAAGATGACAGAATGACAAAATACCAAGCTCTAATGAGAGAACACATCAAGCGATTCTAGGCAATCAGGGTCCAACAAATTGGCCAGGAAGACAACGGCCGTGCGGATGAGTTAGCCGGTCTAGCTTCCATGGTCGACCGAACATCTCCCAGTCCTCTCTTGATTGAGTATCTTCTAAGGCCAAGTATCGAGGAAACCGAGCTGATGGAGGTACTTTGCACCGAGCTAGGTCCTTCTTGGATGGACCCTATTATCCTCTTCCTCAAGGAGCGGACCCTTCCGACCGATAAAAAGAAAGCGCATAAAGTCCGGGTGAAGTCAAAGCGGTTTTGGCTCCCTCCATCTGGCGCTTTATACAAGAAATCTTTCACCGGCCCCTATCTCAAGTGTGTACACCCAAACAGCGTGGAAGCTTTCATGTATGAAATTCATGAAGGCATATGCGGCAGTTACATCGGGGGCAGATCTTTGGCTTATCGAGCTATTTCGCAAGGGTATTAGTGGCCGTGCATGCAAGTGGACGCTCAGAAATATGTTCGCAAATGTGAGAAGTGCCAGAAGTTTGCCCACCAAATTCACCAGCCGGCCAGAGAACTTCTTCCCCTCACAAGCCCTTGGCATTTTACGATGTGGGGGCTGGACATAGTGGGACCACTCTCAACGGCACCAGGCAACTGGAAGTTCTTCATCGCGGCTACGGACTACTTCACCAAATGGGTTGAAGCAGAGCCCTTAGCAACTATTAAGGAGAAAGACGTCAAACGGTTTGTCTGGTAGAATGTGGTAACGCAGTTTGGCGTCCCTAAAATTCTGATCTTTGACAATGGCACCCAATTTGACGGGCGCCTATTTAGAGGATTTTGTGAAGAATTGAAGATTGAATTCTACAACTCCACCCCGGCTTACCCGCAGTCCAACGGCCAAGCCGAAGCATCAAACAAGACCATTCTTGATGGGTTGAAGAAAAGACTTGAGAAAGCCAAAGGAAAATGAGCCGAAGAACTCCCCAATGTCCTTTGGGCATACTGGACGACCCCACGGCGATCTACCAGGGAAACTCCTTTTGCCCTGGCATACGGCATGGAGGCGGTCATCCCATTAGATATCAGCACCATTATCCGCAGTGAAAATTTTGAGCCCGAGTTGAACTCTAAAGCTGTCGCCCTGGAATTGGACCTAGCTGACGAGCGCTGAGAAAAAGCTCTAATTCACGTGGGCGCGTAACAACAGGAATTGTCCAGGAAATACAACAAAACCGTGCACCCCAGATCGTTTAAAGTAGGCGACTAGGTTTTAAGGAAGGTCATGGGCAATACCCTGGTGCCAGGCGAAGGCAAGTTAGGGGCAAACTGGGAAGGACCCTACAGGATAATCGGTCTGGCGGGCAAGAGGGCATACCACTTGGAAGATTTGGATGGCAAAGGCATACCCCGGCCATGGAATGCAGCCAACCACAAACTATACTATTTTTAAGTTTTTCATAGTTTTTATGTTATTCTTTTGAGCAAGGACTTGTTTGCCTTACACTTCAGATAGTAATCCCCTTTTTGTCAATATAATAGAAGTGACTTATTCTTGCTGAAGCATTCTGTTGTTTTCGATGCTTATTCTGAGATTTCGACCGAGATGTTTTATTCCGGTTGAATGAGTTGATGATTTACTCAACCCTTTGGAATTGTAACCGAGATGTTTTACTTCGGTTGAATGAGTTGATGATTTACTCAACCCTTTGGAATTGTAACCGAGATGTTTTACTTCGGTTGAATGAGTTGATGATTTACTCAGCTCTTTGGAATTGTAACCGAGATGTTTACTCCGGTTGAATGAGTCGATAATTTACTCAACTCTGAAATATCAACCGAGATGTTTTACCCCGGTTGAATAAGTTGATGATTTACTCAACTCTGAGATTTCAACCGAGATGTTTTACTCCGGTTGAATAAGTTGATGACTTACTCAACTCTGAAATTTCAACCGAGATGTTTTATTCTGGTTGAATGAGTTGATGATTTACTCAGCATAAACCGAGATGATTTGCTCAACTCTGTGATTTAGACCGAGATGATTTTGCTCTGGTTAAATGAGTTGATGTTTTTATCAATCGAGATGGTTTATCTCGGCTATATGAGTTGATAATTCGTTCAAGGACGAGTTGATGATTTGCTAAGCCAAGGTGCTTTACCCCGGCCAAAGTTGTGTAGTTTAAACACAGTGGAAACACTTAACGAAATCAGAACATTTCATTAATTTGAAATATAATTACATACGGTGGGACTGGCAGTCCAGTTACATTCTTAAAAACAAAAGAAGGAAGACAGAAAACTACACTAAGGGAGAAAGGTCTGCGAACTCATCCCCGATAGTAGTCACCTTCAGGTTGACTGTAGCAGTGGTTTCTTGGACGCCGGCCTCGCCCTTGTCGGTCTGCTTTGGGCGGTTATTTCCCTCGGTGTTTTTCTCGTCATCCTCTACGTCTTCCTCTTCGGCCTCGGCCTGCAGTGCGCTGAAAACATCATTGGCGCATGGCACCAAGTACGTCGGCAGGAAGGCTGCTGGGGGAGAAGCAAACACGTCGGTTCCAGATCCTTGGCCGAGCTGTTCACAAGCAGCCTTCCAGCCAGCCTTGAAGAAAATGTCTTGGGTGGCATGGACTTGCTTCGTGTAGTTTTCCTCGGCCTCCTTGAAACCGGTGTTGTTGGCGTCCTCTAACTCCGTCTTCCTTAACTGGTTTAATGCCTCCAGCTCGGCCCGGAGAGTGTCTC